CCAGGTGTTTCAGGTGTTGGTGTTTCAGGTGTTCCAGGTGTACCAGGTGTTTCAGGTGTTGGTGTTTCAGGTGTTCCAGGTGTACCAGGTGTTTCAGGTGTTGGTGTTTCAGGTGTTCCAGGTGTTTCAGGTGTTGGTGTTTCAGGTGTTTCAGGTGTACCAGGTGTTTCAGGTGTTGGTGTTTCAGGTGTTTCAGATGTTTCAGGTGTACCAGGTGTTTCAGGTTTTGTTGTTTCAGGTGTTTCAGGTGTTGGTGTTTCAGGTGTTTCAGGTGTTCCAGGTGTTCCAGGTGTTTCAGGTGTTGGTGTTTCAGGTGTTTCAGGTGTTCCAGGTGTACCAGGTGTTTCAGGTGTTTCAGGTGTTCCAGGTGTTTCAGGTGTACCAGGTGTTTCAGGTGTTTCAGGTGTTCCAGGTGTTTCAGGTGTTCCAGGTGTTTCAGGTGTAGATTTACTTTGTGAAAGCCTCAGTGGCTCATGGGATATTTTGCTATCAGAACCGTCAGCTCACAGGTGATGATGTGATTGTGCCAGGTGTCCTTTTGGAGACTTTCTGTCCCAAAGGACACCTGCCTGTGTTTGAGGGCGGAGCTTTAGTAGACAGTAGACTCACCTGATCATTTGAGCAGGTAGCAGAGCTTCCTGGTTGACACTGATTGGTTGATTGTAAGCAGGACATCTTCTCTCTCTGCAGAACACTGAAGAGCTGCTGACAGTCAGAATCCTGCGCTGTGATTGGCTGTGATCCAGGGGGTGGGTCAGAACACCTGGCTGTTGATGACATCAGAAATATTTAAGTGAAGAGTTTATATTTATGAATAAAATGATTGATCTGATCAGATAAAGTGTTTGTTTGTCTCTAACCTAACAAACAGTTCAACAGTCTGACCTGTGTTCACAACAACCTGCAGTAAAACTCACAYCTATACAAAATACAACAAAACAACAAAACAAACTAACCTGCTTCATCAGAGGAAGAGGAGGATGAAGGTTTGTCTGCTGCACACAGGTACATGAGCTGTTCTTTAACCTGTACGTTTAAACTTTGACTTTTCACTGTCAGTGATTGTTCATGTTTCACATAAAGACCTGTGATAGACCATCAGCTACAATATATTACAAGTTTATTCATTTTAAAAAACAAATTATATACACACAATATATATACTTCTGTAACAATTTAAACCTTTGATCACACAAGACAGAGAAATGTAACTTAAATACTAGACATGGGTTTTTACGCTGTAAAAACAAGTGTGCATTGCCATGTAGCATGTCTGTGCAGGATTGGACTTTCAGAATGAACTTTGACCAAGTTCAAATGTGTTTTCTATACCAGCTTGTGRCTGTCACGTCAGCAGGTGTTTGTAATTAAGGTAATTGTGTGACAATATGAAGTTTGAAGAGATTTTTGTTAAAGTTGCAGTAGCTGGATTTGAACCCTGATCTCCCACATGAAAGCCCACAGTGCTCATCATGAGACTATAGGAGATGTGCAGAGGACAATCCCAGGGATTGGACTGTATGTATACAGAAAAAGTTTACCTTGCCAATGCAATTATTGACACTTAAGTGCAATATATTACAGCAATAGGACAACATAAAGACAGTATTACAGTAAAACATCAAAATACACTCACCGGCCACTTTATTAGGTACACCTGTCCAACTG